GAGAAACACCTCTCACAAGTGTGCCCTTGGGGTGCCAGGTGCACCATCCTGCAGTGGAAAAACCCAGAACCATGCGAGGACTGTCGGGGCCCCACGTGCCTCTTGCAAGTTGCAGACACATTCCCATGTGGAAGGCTCCGGAAAGTTCCACACCACCGAAACCTGTTGACGCTGACCAGGGATCCGTGTCACAGAGCCCGCCCTCCCGGCCTGCTTGCACGAGCTCTTCAGACTTTCAGGGCTTGTCTCCGGCAGTCGTCTCAGCCGGGCGGCCTTTCCTGTGTTTAACTGAAGTCGGCCTCGCTCATTTCCACACACCCAGCCCAGGTCTGGTTCTCCCCCGGGGACCCTGGTGGTGGTGGTGGGGCACGTGTGCTCCACCATGTGTTGCTCACCTAAAAGTGGGTGGTCCGGACCCACCCGGCATTGTCGAAGAAAGGCCTGGCGGTTACAGCCAAGAAAACCGTTTGGACACTCTACTCTGTCATGCACAGGGGTAGCTGGGTGGCCCTGCATCAGAACTGACCCCAGCAGAACAAGTTTGGGTTTGTTTTGGAAAGACCACCCAGGGTCCTGTGGTGCTGACTGCACCGATTTCTCCATCCGGCCGGGAACGCTTTTGTGTTCGTCTTTCTGGTGTGGTAAAGAGGGGCCCGGAGCGTGTGTGGCGGTTACATGCTGGGCTACTAACACCAAGGTCAGCAGTTCGAAACCACCAGCTGTCCTGAGCGAGAAGGACGAGGCTCTGTCCCCGTGAAGAGTGACGGTCTCGGAGACCCACACGGGCCGGGCTCTGAGTCGGAACCAACACCGTGGCAGTGAGTTTGAAGTTTGATGCGGTTAAGGGAGGCCCGGCAGCGGCGGTGGAACACTAACAGAAAAGGAGGCCCTTAGCCGGCCTGGCTCCTCCCGCAAAGAGATAACGCTTCCCAACCCCAGCAAGAGTTCTCCTCTTTCTTACAGGGCCGCTACGAGTCAAAAGTGGGTTTTAGGATGGTAAACTAGAACGTGAAATTTTACAACGGCAAACATTCCTAAAAGTATGTATGAGTCTCGGCTAACACGCAGTACACATGTGAACGTTGAATGTGCAAAGTGCGTTATTCATGAACACTGTGTAATTCACCACACTGCGACCATCCAAAATCAAGCCCAACCTGCGGCTAGAGAGCCGATTCTGACTCAGTGACCCGGAGGGACAGCGCAGAGCCACCCCTTCCAGTCACCCGCTTCCAGGCGGTCGGTCATCTTTACTGGAAGCGGATGCCTCTCTCCCACGGGGTGGCTGGTGAGTTCAGACTGCAGACCTTCTGCTTAGCAGCTGAATGCTTAACCACTGCACCGCCAGGACTCCTCTACAGCTGCCACCACCTGGCTGTCCCCAAACCTTCTCATCACCCCACACGGAAGCTCTGCACCCAAGGGCAGCCACACACCCACACCCACAGCCCCCGTGCTTTTCTGCCTCTGTGTGCTTGCTGACTGGAGATGTTGGTGTCGTGGCTCACAAGTCAGGCTGCTCACGGCGAGGTCAGCAGTTTGAACCCACCAGCTGCTCTGCAGGACAAAGGGGAGGCCGTCTGCTGCTGTAAAAAAAAACCCGTGTAGGCTCAGGAGCACTCGGGACAGCTGCCCCTCCCTGCCCTGTAGGGTGGCTGTGGTCAGAACTGACTGGAGGTCCTTAGCTTGCTGTGTGAGCTGGTGCGTACAGTGCATTCACACTGTGCTTGACCTTTTGCATTTGGTCACATACTGCAGGACCCGGCACCCGGGGATCGTCGTAATAAGTAAGTGCATCTGGAGCTGTGGTGACTAGGGGCGGGTGAGCACCTGGGAGGGTCACTTTTGTCCTGCGTGTGAAAAGTGCCCTGGCATTAGAACAAGGCCACAGTTGCTCAGCCGTGGGACAGGCTAACCACCGCGGATGCTGTGCATTTTAAAAGGGGAGAGAGTGTGGGGTGTAACAAACCCCACCCCACAGTGTTCAATGTGAATCAATGAATGAGGTCGGTCCCGAGGCCCCATTACTTATATTTGCTCGTCACCGGACCAGCTGGTATCGTGTTTGGTACAAGACTTGGGAACCACAGGGTCTAGAGTCACATCCCGCCCCTGGTGTCCTTGGGGTGACCTTGGGGGGTCCTGGCTAAGTTGCCAAGTCGAGCAAGTTGTCCTCTTGATCTTCCTGCTCTCTGGGCTCACTCAGGGAGGGGAGGGGAGCGGAGCGGCAGCCTGTGGCAGAGGGTGGAGCCGTGCTGCTTTAGCGCATCTGTGGAAATCATTGCTTCCATTCTTTAGGGCTCACAAGCCCCCCATGGACTGATCCCATCTTGGATCATAGGCTCTGCCCGCCTCTGTGTGTGTCCAGTCTGGGGCTCGTCTGACCGGTCACAGAGCTGCTCAGAGCTCCCCACAGCCACCCAGCTGTCCTTAGCCCGAGGGCCATCCTCACAGCAGGCAAGCTGAGGGCCATCCTCACAGCAGGCAAGCTGAGGGCCATCCTCACAGCAGGCAAGCTGAGTGCAGAGACTGCAGGAGGGGGGCATGGCACAAGAGTGCTCAGCCCAGAGTAGGAGGGCAGGCAGTGGGTGGGGCGTCTGTGTGTGTGTGTCAGGAGGGGAGGTCACAGAGAGAATGGGACCCTCTGGGTGGGAGGAAAGGCATGAGGGTGAGCCTTGCTGCAGTGCCTCCTGACCTTGGGCCTTAAATACCACCAGCCCACGGGCCCCGTGTCTTGGGTGGTGGGTGGGTGGCGGTGGGGGTTCCCAGGGTAAGTGAGGCAGTTGTTGGGGGAGGGAGGGAAGAGCCGGCCTGTGGGGAAGCCCGATTCCTTGTTTGAAGGCAGGGGCTCCTCCTGAACCCCCAAAAGGCTGGGAAGAAGTGCTGCAGGGCAGTGATTTATTTCATGCGGCTTCCAGGGCAAGTCTCTGTAACGCCCACCAAGGGACCCTTTCCTGCAGGAGTCTGGGGCAAGGAGGGCGGGAGACACTGATAGGACTCCCCTGTG